AACATTGCGGGTATCACAAATTCGGTCCTCCTTTTCCGCTCTTGGCACCCCCAAACTGCCACCCCTCATTGCGACGCATTCTCCCTGAGGCCCTTGGTCCGCAACGTCAACTTTGCCCCCCCCTCCTCAAACGGCAGCGCCAACCCGCCCGACGCGGTCCCATTCTCCCTCGCGCCAGCGGCAACCGCCCTCCTCAACTCCTCCCCCTTCCTCCCCAGCACCTCGCTCTCCTCACTCCCCCTGCGACTCCCACCCCCCAAACTACTCGCCGCATCATCCCCGACCCCAGAACCCACACTCCCACCATTCAACCCCCTGATCCTCCCCGCCCACAGCCCCCTCACCCCACCCCTCTTCCGCTCCGGCACCTCCTCGCTCCCCGCGCTGCACACATACAGCAAATACTTCAAATTCGGCAGCGTCTGCCGTATGTCCACCACCCGGAGCCCCAGCGCGCCGCACAGCGCCTCAATATCCTTATTTAGCAGGAACCAGGCATAGTCAAACCGAAACTGCGCGCTCGACCCGCCGCGCGGCACGTAGAGCGGGAACTCGCGCTGCGGGTCCGGCAGCTGGCTGATGTCGTCGCGGATGGTGGAGCGGGAGGCGAAGGGCCGGATGGGATAGGGGAGCGGGACGGCGAGGTAGAACTGCAGCGCGTCGACTAGCTGGGCGACGTGGCCGAGCGCGGCGGAGAGGGCGTCTTCGGTGCTGCTGGCGCCGGCGGCCGGTTTGAGGGTCGAGTCGTAGATGGTGTTGGGCAAGGGGACACTGCAGATCTGGAAGGATAGCGGTGGGCCGAGCGGGACGGGGACGATGCGGTAGATGCGCGAGAGGTCTTCGCAGATGCGGCGGCGCTGGCCGTGGATTTGGTCGCGGTTTTCGGCGACGAGTTGCTTGGATTGGGTGAGTTTCTCGGTTGCGTTTTCGACGTCTGTGGCGGCTCGTTCTTGGGCTGCGCGCCCTTGGGCTATCGCTTCCCGGCGTGCAGTGATGGAGGCCTTGAGGTCTTGATTGCGATTCTTGGCTGCGGCCACAGCACGCCGTTGCTGCGCCAGCCACCTGTTGGTCAGGGCGAGTTTATCTTCGGCTTCCGGCACCTTGTTCTCCGTCTCTCGGGCCAAAAGGCCGTTGATCTGTCGCGTGAGGAGCTCGTGGGTGGCGAGCGCGTCCTGGATGGAGCTATCCAGCGTAGCTAGTCTCATCAATGCGTTGTACGACGAGGTGGGCGCCGGGGCGATCTGCTTGGGTGGCGGCGGCTTGGCGGACAGTTCGAGCGAGTAGACCCCGTCGACGAGGTAGAAGATCAGGCTATTTGGGGGAAAGTGCACATTCTGGAAGCTGCCCAGCCAGTTCAGGGCGCGCAAATCGACATGATCCTCCAGCAGTGGACCCCATGTGTCGTGGCGCTTTGTCCATACTTTGATCGTCATCTGGGGTGTTTGTGTAATTGACGAGTCGAGTTCGGAGAGCTCAAAGGGTCGGAAGTTGAAGTTCTGTTTGGCCGCAAGTCAGCCGGGCTCCTCCTGCCCGCCATCATGGCTGGACGCGTACCGTCGCCCGGTCTTCGGTCTCGCTGATGTATATCGGGTCCTCCCCGCCTTGTACGTGCAAGGTGAAGAAGGCATCGGCCAGCCTACTGTCGAACACATCCTCGAACTTCTTCTGCCTGGTGACGGAGCTGGCATTGGCCAGGTTTGTACTCCTCCGTCGCGCGGCCGGAGGTCGAAGGTCCTCGGACGAGAGGGCGTGGTGTAAGTGCGGCGAGTTTCGCAGCGCCTCGATCTTAGCAGGGCTTTTGTTGAGTGCCGCGTCATCAATGGTGCGCCCGCGGGGTCGAGAAAAGGTCAGGTTTCTCAGCGAAATGCCGCGGAGGTGTCGGAGCTTGCGGTTGTGCGGCAGCAGAAGCGGGCGCGTGGGTTCGGCCGACATTGTCTCATGTCGGTGTCGGGGGGGAAGTCGGGGGAAGCGTGAGGCATTGGCAAGGTTGATGTCGGTTGGTGGACGATGAGATAGATGCAGTGGGCCGTGATTGGAGTTTGGCACTTGGAGCTTCCCGCTGGGACGGGGAGCTTTGGTGGGCCGCTAATACAGAAATATGTATGTATGTACATTACATACCAGGTATGTCCCGTAGCGCGCATCGCAAACCTTGGCAGAAGCGCGCTGTGTGCCAGTGTGGGGGTCTGACTGAATGCAGACAGACCGGGATTATTAACCACTGTACGTCCTGCGGTTTGTATAGCATTTCTTGCTCTGTTTTTACTGCATATCTCATCGGCGGAAACGAACGGAACAAATGATCAGTGATTGTTTGCCAGAAATATATACTTATAAGCAACCATTGTCGACGATACCTGCGCTATTTCCAATTTCTGATCCTACTAGAACCCTGTCTTTCCTGATTCTATTTTTCCGAGAAAGCTTCTCAGCGCGCAACTCCCAAATCGCAACTCTCAAACCCAAACCCGGCACAACCCCGACCACATTAGCCTCATGGCCGGAATTTCGGATGATAAGAGGCGGCCAGCACGCCAATCTCTCGCGTGCCCTCCGGAAAAGGATCCTTCGTCGGCGGCACCAATTACTAGCCACGGTACCAGCCCGGGGAGTCATTGCTCGCTACCATGAAAGCACAACCCGCGGCCGAGTTCCTGCTCCTCGCGCCGGTTCGCCCGTTTTCACAAGCAGTAGAAAGGGGCAATGACAAGCACCTCGAGGACAACAGGCGCACTCACAACTCCCAGGCGACCCTCGCTTGGCGGTGAAGTTTGTTCTTCCTTTTTGTACGATCGCCGCTCTGCCAGTTGATCTATATCATCACCGCAAACAGGTCGAGGGCTGTGATAGACGCCTGGACATCCGGGATTGTCAGCGGGGCAACGGCGCTGCCATTGGAACCACTACATGTCGCGGTTGGCACCGTGGTCGATGTAGCGACATGTTTGGCCGTTGACATTCCCGCAGCCATACCCACGGGAGAAAGGTTGGCGTCGTTCGTTTGGATCTGGGCAAGGAAACTAACCATGGACAACAGCCAACCGCTGTCTCTCCATCTCGCAACTTGAGGCTGGCGGCCAACATGCGATGTCATCGACCGCCGTATTCTAGGAACACAACTGCTCTAGCTAGGCTCCGTCGTTGTTCCCCCGGCTCTGGTGCGCTCCGACCGCAACCGCGCAAACCGGCAGCGGAACAAAGGTCCCCGTCAATGGCCCGAGGTTGTAGGGGGCCTGCCCGATTGGGACTTTCAGCATGCTGCTAGTTTGATTTTCGGATGATGGAGCTGCCATTGCACCTCATCCTCACCAAGGAGTGCAGGCAAAATCCCTGGACTGTGGTGGACTGGTAGGTGCAAACATCCTGAGACTCCAAAAGCCCGCGGCCAGCGTGAAAGCCCAAATTGGACGCGATCCCCCTTGCTAACGGAGCAGCAATCTACAGACTATCTGCACCGACGTCTCCATCACAGGGCCCCAGAGTCTATCGCGTTTCTTATTTCTCGCCGAGCTCTTGTATCTAAGAGACAATCGCCGAGCTGATCCGGGAAACCTGGGCCTGATCTTCTCCCAGCCCAGAGCGAACCCCTCACCCCTGACGATCGCACCCCGGAAAAGCGAGTTCGCAGAAACCCCGCCAAGTGCCAACGTTGTACGGATACCTGAGGATTCAGTTCAAGCGAGTCTCCGTGAGTGGTCACTCAAATAGCCAGTTTCGGTAGCTCCGGACCGCAGACGCAGGATCTCCGCGGGTTGCGATTGCCGTCCGGGATTTCACCGTCTCCTTCGAGCACAACTACATGATGGCCCACAACATTTCCCAGCCCCCGAAGGTCTGATCGGCTCGGCATACCTACGATGTCACATGTGACGTCTCTTTGACGGTGCTGAACGAGTCTCGAAGCCCCAAACCTCCACTTCCTTCATCCACATGACGTCACACCGGGGAGTAATAAGCCTCGAAGAAAGCACCGCACCTTGCGCGTTTTAGCGCTCATCTCTATTCTTTGCCATCTGCTTCGGCTTTCCACAAATCTCCATCTACGCACGACGAAACCCAACATCACAGCCGCAGTCTTCACCATGGGCGCGTTAGCAAGACTCACTACCCCATTCCCCAGGGCCATGGGCCTCCGGACCATCGCCACGCGCGCCAACACCATCGACACGCCCCGCACGCCGCTCAAAGACACCACGCCGGCCAGCACCCGCGCCGACTCCACCCGGCCCACCACCGCCGTCGGCGTCTACGGCAACGGCCGGACGCATTGGGAATCCTCGTCGCACACGCGCTGGACGGCCGACGAGCGCGGCCGGTCCTTCTACAGCACGCAGATCTACCACGGGCAGACGCGCCGCGCGAGCACGTGCCCGATTGGTCGGGGCCCCGCCACGGGCATGGGCACGGGCGTGTCGATCGTGGCGGACAACTTTGGCTGCGAGGTCAAGGCGAACCCGACCGTGAGCGAGGCCAACGTGGCGGCCGATCGCTGCGACTACGACCCCCTGGCGCCGGGACTGCATCATACTATCCGGCTTGACGCCGGCGGCGCGGCCGCGGAGCCGACGGAGAGTGAGGAAGACGTGGCGGCGGATTTGGGAAGGCGGGGGCCGGATCCGTTGACGGAGAAGAAGTGATTGGGATATGGGGGGGGGGTGGATCAAGGGCGGTTATCGGTTCGGGAGGATGTGTGTGCCCAGTGACGTGGGATGAAAAGTTGAACTTGTTTTGCATGCGGAACGTTTGTTGGTGGGGAAACTACGCGAGGGCAGCAAAGCCTGGATTCGATTCCATGATTTAGTGCTGAATGTCAACAACTCTTTGATGAAACGGCGCTCCATCACCTGGAAACATGGACTCAAGTCGGACACCGTTTATCTCTTCATCAGTTAACCTGCATAACGAGCTATCCGTCTTATAAAACGCATCACGGATAATCCCAGGCTTCCCCATTCTTGAATCCTGCGCGCCAGCTGCATCTCCACACCCAATCCACCACAGCCCGCATGGCTAAGTGGTATAGCGTGACACTCGTATTTCTACTGGGTCAATGTCAAGGTCATCAGTTCGATTCTGATTGTGGGCATCTGTTTTGCCGTCGGGGGCGTGGGGGTCTCGAGTTCAAATTTGTGTCCCAAGGGGGCGTTTCGCGGCAGAAAGGGGTGATGTTGTTTGTGTTCATGGGTGTCAGGGTCATGTTGGAGGGGGTTGGGCAACAACGACCGTGGAAGCGGTTGCCTTGAATATTTTGCTTATATTGTGAAGTCCGTCTGGAACCTATGTAAGTAGGCACGGAGAACCTAGTTCACGATCCGGCGCGTCTTGACAAACACCCTCGAGTCTGGCGGCGCATCAACTCCACTTGAGCACGGCCTTGATGGCCTTCCCTGACTTGGTGTCTTCGATGGCCTGCTCATAGTCCTTGTAGTCGTAGTACTGGATGAACTCCTCCATCGGGAACAGCCCGCTGGCGTGCGCCTCCATCAGGTAGGGGATGAGCTGTCGGTGTCAGCATGGCCCACAAACACGAATCAGCACGCGAGAGCACTCACCTCGGACGGCAGACTGTCGCCCTCACAGCACCCGACATACTCCTTCCCATACGTCAGATGCTCCATCACATCCACACTGACACTCTTGCCCGGCCCCGGCGCGCCGACCGTGGCCGCCCGGCCGCGCGTCCCAAGACAGTCGATCATGGTCCGAATCACCGCCGGCACCCCGGTACAGTCGACCGCGAAATCCACCCCATTCGGCGGGCAGATCCGGCGGATCTCGTCCACGACGCCCTCGCGGCCGCCGACCACGCCGTGCGTGGCCCCGAGCCGCTTCGCCAGCTCCAGCCGCGCCGGCTGCAGATCCACCGCGATCACCGTACCGGCCCCGCGCAGCCGCGCCGCCGCCATCACCGCCGCCATGCCCACCGACCCGACGCCGAACACGGCCACGGAGCTGCCGCGCCGCACGTCCAGCGCGTTGAGCACCGCGCCGGCCCCGGTCTGCATCCCGCAGCCGAGCGGCGCGTACAGCGCCAGGTCGGTCGCGGGCGCCACGCGCACCGCGCTGGAGCGGTGCACGAGCGTGTGGCGCGCGAAGGACGACTGGCCGAAGAAGGTGCTGAAGATGCCGCCGCGCGCGGCGTCTTGGGGCGCGGCGGGGTTGGGCGCGAGGAACATGGAGGGGGAGCCGTCCGCGCGGGCGCCGCCGAAGTTGCGGGCGTTGAAGTCGTGGCAGTAGGCCGGGTGGCCCGAGGTGCAGGGCCCGCAGGCCTGGCAGTGCGAGAAGGACAGGAGGACCTTGTCGCCGGGCTGGACGTGGGTTGTGGCGGCGCCCACGGCGAGAACGATGCCCGCGCCTGGATGATGGTCGCGTCAGTATGGGGTAGCTGGCATGGGGACGTGTCGCAACGCACCCTCATGGCCCAGCACGGCGTTGGGCCTGCAGGGGAGCACGCCGATGGCACATGACAGGTCGGTGTGGCAGATGCCCGAGGCGTGGATCTCGACGAGGAGCTCGTCGGGCTGGATCGCGTCGAGCTGGATCTCGCGCAGCTCGAACTTGCCGTTGAGCTCGGGCACCACGAGCGCCGTGGTGGTGCGGGACATGACGGCGAGTTGCGGATGGGGTGATGACGGCGGGCGGTGAGGCGGTGCGTTGGGGAATCGAGTTGCAGAACAGCAAAACCAACCCGAGAGGCCACGACCTATTTGATCGCCGAGTGTCACGCCGCGGCGTCGTGAATGTGATCGGCAGCGTGCAGCCCTCGCGTGCTGTTCTCGGAAGCCTGGCGTTCCCCGCAAAACGGGGTCAAGCGGATGGAGCACGCGTGGCCTCCGAACGGGGATGCGGCCGAATGCGGTCTTTTTCTCGCGCGGTAATCTTGGTCGGCTACGGAAATGTCGGAGTGGTGGTGGGAGGAGTGGGAGGGTGTCATGCGCCACCGGCACTCGGCCCCGCAACCTTGTTTTTTACCCCACGGGGATCACGGGCACGCGGCGTGGCCGGGGTCAACCCGGCGCTTACCCCGTGTTAGCCGATCCGGCCGTCCGATGCGGAGTGCCGATGTGGAGTGCCGATGTGGGGTGCGGAGTCCATTCGGAATTTCAGACACGCTCCTTTCCGGTGAGGTGGGAACGGTACCGAGAATCGGGAATCAGGGGACCGCTGTGGATTCCACGTGGCGCCTGCCAAGTGCCGGGAGCTACTCCAGTGTCGTGCGACACCAAGCTGGTCGCGTGTACATGAATTGGAAGATGAACCGTGGCCTGCGGATGCTGGATTGGCAGGAGAAATGTGTGGTTGGTTCATGAGCGAGAAAAATCGGCATCGGAAACAGCCAACGAAAATGCCAATCAACAAGTCAGGAACTCAGGCCGGGAGCGGGAGCGTATCGGGCAATTGATTGCTCGCTCGATAAAGGAGAGGTGTGGCTATTCTGGGCCAAGGAGATAAATTCCAATCGAAGCAAGAAGTTGTTGTATGGATGATGCAGGATCCCACCCTCTGGGGCCTCGCACCAAAGCCTTAAATACCCGATACAGTGATCCGGTCCTTCTTTCCGCCACGACCAGTCAGGGAATAATTACCTGTTCGTCTGATTTTTGTCTAGCCAGGACCCCAAAAAATGCTCAGACGAACTGGAGGTAGGCAATGTGACTGTGAAATGTGTGGACAAGAAAAGCGGTGGGATCAAAATCTTGGTTGAGAGAGTTGTTTTGGTAATCAGAGTGGTATTTCGTCGCTCTCCCATAGTATCCAAAACACACCCATACAAAAAAAAAGAAAGAAAAAAGAAAGAAAAACACGACTGTCTTAAAATACAGATAACCCCGGGCTTCAACAGAGCACACAACAAAGCCTACGCCTTCCTCGGCCGCCCATTCACCAGCGGCGACGCCATCCACTGCTTCGTCACCGGATCCAGACACTCCTTCTCCGCCATCCGCCACTGCTCCACCACCATCTGCTTCCGGCGCTCGTCCCGCGGCGTGATGGACACGGGGAACTCCTCCGGCTGGCAGACAAAGCCCTGCGTGAGCTTCTCGGGATCCGGGATGATGGGCTTGCCGTCGGCGTCGACGGCCGGGGTGATGTCAAAGGCCCACAGCATGCGCGACACGCCGAGGAACAGGCTGCGCTCGGCGACGTGCATGCCCGGGCAGATGCGGCGGCCGGCGCCAAAGGTGAACTGGTCGCGCTTGGACGCGTCCGGGTTGGCGGCGGAGTCGGCGAGGCCCTGGAAGTCGTCGCGGTACCGGTCCGGGTCGAAGCGGCGCGGCTCCGGGTGGCGCGTCGGGTCCATGTTGATGGCCCACACGTTGTTGACCACGCCGGCGTTCTTGGGGATCAGGTAGCCCTCGTACCAGTCGTCCTGGTTGACGGCGTGCGGCACCGCGCCCAGGATGGTGGTGGGCATCCAGCGCAGGGACTCCTTGATGATGGACCGGATGTACTGCATGCCGGGCTCGTCCTCCATCGTGGGCAGCCGGTCGGGGCCGACGACGCGGTCGATCTCGGCCTGGGCCTTCTTCTGGACCTCCGGGTAGAGCAGCATGGCCTGGATGAAGGCGTACAGCGTGCTCGAGGTTGTGTCGGAGCCGGCCTCGAGGAGCGTGCCCGTGATGTAGGCCGCCTGGTCGTCCGAGAACCCCTCGGCCTTTTGCGCCGTGACCAGGTCCTCGCCGAAGCAGCGCATGATGGTGCCGGCTTCGGTCTGCTCCTTCGCCTTGAGCCAGTGGCCGCGGTACAGCTCCTTTTCCTTGCTGTGCAGTTCCCTGGCCTTCTGGCGCACCGGCAGCAGAAAGTCGGGCAGGTAGCGGATCCAGGGGAAGAAGTCCACCAAGGCCGCGGGGCCGGTCTGGTTGAGCTCGGCAAACTCGGAAAAGCCGTCAAAGAGCTGCATCATCTTCTTGTCCTCGTACGTCGACGATCGCCAGCCCAACACCATGGTCGTCGTCAGCGAGTTGGAGTAGCGGCGGATGTTGTACATGCAACGCTCGGGCTGGGTGATCATCTCGTAGAGCATCTGCTTGTTCTCGAGCAGCTGGTACGGCACGTACGACTTGGCTGCCGACACGTTCAGGAGGGTGTGGATCAGCTTGCGGCACATGCGCCACCGCGCGTCGTAGCCCATCATGAGCACGCGCAGGTCGCCGCTGCACAGGGTCTGGCCGATGTACATCTCCGGCCGGTGCGAGTACATGTTGCTCTTCTTGTCCAGCAGATCCTTGACCGCCTTGTCGCTCGAGAGAACGATGAGCGTCTTGGTCCCGAGGATCAGGCTGTAGACGGGTCCATACTGGCGCGCCCACTTCTCGAACTGGAGATGGGCATCGTGCTTGGGCATCTATTTTTTTTTTTTGGAACATCAGCATGGTGATTTTGCCACCCTCTCTGCGGACGAGCAAACATACCTGGTGAAGATTGCCGATGATGGGAAGCGTGGGCGGGCCAGGGGGGAGGTTCTTGGGGCGTCTGCCCGAGAACAGGAGCCGGAAGAAGATGGCTGCCGCCACCACCACGGGGAGGATGTTCAGAAGCAAAGCCATGGTGTATGGTGTTGGGTCAGGAACCGACAGATCCGGGGGCGGACGGGCAGGGACGACACAGAAGCGTTGGCCTTGTGGTGAGAGAAGGAGAAGTCCGAGAAGGCGGCAGGCTCAAGACTCAAGTACTCGCGGCGTGCCTGGGCCAAGAGTCGGTGAAGTCCCTCGGCGTAAAAGCTGCGGCCGGGAATCCATGGAGTGCTGATGGCTGTGCCAGGGGTCTGGGGTGTCTCCGACAGTTGGTCCTTGGCGCGGAAGTGGAGGTGGGATAGCCCCCGCCCAACTGCATGGCGCCAAGCACCGAGATGGCGGACGATGTGGGAGGTCAAATCTCGGTCACTCTCGGCCCGTCAGGACTCAGGAGAAGGAAGTGGGACGCGTTTGACCAGGGTTCTTTGCCAAGACACCGACGCGAGCTACTTAGTCCTCTGCACCCAGCCAAACTTTGGAGTTGGGCTGGTGGTCTTCAAGTCAGTGCAAACACCAATCACCCACACAACCAACTCGCGGGTTCAGGAACCACGTCTAGTCCAGGTGGAAC